GTCGTCGTAGTGGTCGTCGTAGTGGTTGAGATTTCTTTTTGCGTCTCTGTATGATGAGGCTTAATTTCTAATGGTTCCAGTTTACATAATGTGTCAATTTCTTTGCAAACATCATCAACACTCGAACAATCCTTTCTAAAACCGCAATCTAGTTCTAAAGCTTTACATTCTTCTTTCAATTCCAAATACAATTCCAATGCTATCGTCGTTGCATCAAATGCTTTTACCTCAACTTCTGATACTTCTTCAGCTACATATGCTCTTTTAACGAGTCCAAGTTTTGCAGAGTCTGTCTTTCCATTACCTGGTGTGCCTGATGTTCCACTTGGTGCACCTGGCGTTCCACTTGATGTATCTGATGTTCCACTTGATGTGCCTGGAGTTCCATTTTGTGATGGTGGTGGTAGTGGTGACCCTGGTGCTTGTGGTGGTGGTGGTGGTGGTACTAGTGTAGAATCACTGCCATTCTGCGCATTTGGCGGTTTGTCTTGTTTAGGCCTTGATAGCAATAATTTAGCTGTCTCCGTAGAATCTTCTGCCGCCTTTTTGAGCTTATCGTATTCATTCTTGTTCTTTTCTAATTCCTCTTTTGCTTTATCCAGATCGGCTTTTAAAGTAGGGCATTTCTTCTGTAATTTATCAACTAATTTTTCGCAAACATTTCCCAAGGCATTAGCTTCACACTTATCAAGCAGAATTTTGAATGTTTCATTCTTTTTCAACTCAGCGCAACGCTCTCCTAATGCTTCTTTACATTTTTTTTCCTCGCTTAAACTGCCTTTCAACAGGTGAGTCAACTCATCCTTCGATTTCAACTTTTTAAAGGTTTCACTGCATTCTTCTTCAAGTTTTAGACAGTTATTATCTTTCTCCTCTTCTTTTACCAACTGATCTGGACAATTTTTCACAAGTTGATGACAATGTCGGCCCCATGTTGTGCAGAGTTCTTCGAGTGTTGTTTCATTTTTATTTTTATTTGCTTCTCCAATTTGTTCTAGAATTTCTTCATTTTTGATGTTGACTTTTAAATATCTACAATCTTGACTTGTATGGTGTACCATATATTTACATGTTTCTTCTGGCAAAGCACATGAAAACCCAAATGGATTCCTCCTTTTCCTATATAAAGTATTACATTTCTCATGCAATGCCTTCGTACAATTTTGCTCATCGTATAATGCATCATCTTCTCTTTCTAAAAATACTTTTCTAAATCTCTCTGAAACTCTAAAGTATTCACAGCGTCTTTTCAATGTTATACACTTTTCTGAATTCAAATATGTATGATTTTTAAGTTCATCACACTTCTCCTTCAACTCAAGACAATCCTTTTCAAATGGAAAATCTCTCTGATCATCCAAAAGCACACCTAACTCTTTGGATTGAAGAAAAATATCATCTGAAAGCAGATAACATAGTTCTTTAGGATAAAGACATTGTGGAAGATATTTTTTATCTTTAAGTTTTGTACACTTTTCTACCACAGATTTTTTGCAACCCTCAGGATCGCTATTATAATATCTTATACTACCAAGGTTCTCACCCAACCCCTCTCGAAAGAGTGTATTCATGACCCTATATTGTCCTTTTTTATAGCACGCTGCTCGTGCATTTTGACATGCTTCATCAATCTCCTTATCTTTACACGCCTTTTTTAAATAAAAACATTCCGACTCAAGTTCTGCACACTCTCCCTTTGTAAATAAGGTTGGCAGATCTCTCCAGAATAAAAGTTTTGATTCTTCAGCTTTTTCATATTTTGTAGACAAATCTTTCAGATAAAGATTTAATTTGAGATGTGTACATCTTTCTTTTACATTTACATCTAGTAATTCTTTGCATTTCTCTTGTTTATTCTTTTCATCTTTGCATAACTTTTCCAAATCATGATCCAAATGCTTAAAATCATTACATTTTCCTAACAGTTCAGTGCATTTCTTCCCCGCATCATCCTTCTCATTCACATTTTCGCTCAACAGTAGCAAGAGATCTTGCAGAAAATCTTCACCAAACCTTCTTGGTACATCCACGCCTACTTTTCCAATAATAATTCCTTCTTTTTCAGCTCTTTTATAAACATCATCCAACCCAATACTTCTCAACAACGACGCCTTCGGCTTGACCGGACTAAAATCGGATTCCAGCGCTTTATATGTGAATCCTTTTCCCTCGCATTTCGTCTTATCATCCTTACATTTCGCGCCATCACACGCTTCTCCGTAAAAATGACATTTCTCAAGTCTTTCATAGCACTTCTCCGCTAATTCATTTGCCTCCAATGTTTTTTTTAAAGGCTCACAAACATCCTTGAATTTGGTTTCCAGCGTTTCACACGTTTTATCCGAATCAAGGCAGAAAGACATCAACTCGTTGCTTTCTCGACTTAACACTGGGCAAACCTTTTTCATCTCTGCTTGACATTTAGCTTTTTCTTTAGCTTCCTTTCCGAGCGCCCTCAAAAGGAGCTCCTCTGCCACCTTTTTACGCTTCAATTCGTAACATCCTTCCCTCAAGTCGACACAGTCACTCTTAATATTATTATAACCCGTCTCTTCTAAAAGTATACATTTTTCTTCATGTTTTTTACATTCTTCTTCATCTTTTATCTCTACCAATGCAGTTTCAAGTTCCTCTTCAAAAGTTTTCAATACTTTTTCAACTTTGGCTTTCAGGTCTTTGCATTTTTCGTCTCGTTTTGCTTCATCACAAAGTTCTTTAACTTTTTCATCCACTTTCTCTAGATTTTCATCTGCTTTCTTCAACTCTTCACAATATTCCTTGAGCCTTTTTTTGCATTCTTGTTCTTTATCATATTCCTTCTTCAGAATGAAAGCCAAAAGGTGTTCCTCCTTAATGTCATCTTGTGCTCCTTGTACTACTTGTGCTCCTGGTGCTTGCCTCTTAACCGGCCGTGCCATTGCCACCTATTTGGGGGGAGTTAAGTGGATGGTTTCTAAGTTGGATGTAGGCAGGTGAGTGGAAAGTTGTTTTGAAATGATTTTTTTACAACTTAGAGTTGTTCTTATCATTAATCATAAACTTTAGCTCTTCGATAAGCTTAAACTTTACCCGATAAAGCATAGTTTCGAACTAAGATGGTGTGTTAAAATTAAAACTTCATTTCATTCATTTACATTTCTATTATATATAAACAATGGATATATGCACATTTTCATTCTATTAACATTTTTTTCATTCATTTTACATCATCCCCATAACAATCACTCCCAACAACATTATTTTAATCATATCAGGGACTCTTATTTTCATTCCCTCATTCGGTTTTACATCTTCTTCTCCTTCTCCTCCTTTATCTGTCTCTTTGTTTGAATCGGTGGTACATTTGGTAGGCTTGCACTTTCTCATCGACGTCAACGTCACTGTCGACGTCACTGTCGACGTACTCGTTGTCGTACTCGTATGCAATGACGTACGTGTCACCCATGTATCTGTCGTCTGTATCATTGTACACTCTTCTGTTACTTTTCCTCCACTTCCTGATTTGGTTACCGTAACAGTCTTCTCAACGGTCTTTTCATCAGCCTTGCCATCAGTCTTTGTTTCCGTCTTTGTTTCCGTCTTCGTTTCTGTCTTCGTTTCTGTTATTTTCTCTGTATGATGAGGCTTAATTTCTAATGGTTTTATTCCTTCGCATAACTTGTCTATTTCTTCACAAGCTTGTTTAGATTCCTCACATTCCTTTCTAAAACCGCAATCTAGTTGTAAAGCTTTACATTCCTCTTTCAATTCCAAATACAATTCCAATGCTACCGTCGTTGCATCAAATGCTTTTACCTCTGCTTCTGATACACCTCCATCTACATATGCTCTTTTAACGAGTCCAAGTTTTGCAGAGCCCGTCGTTCCACTGCTTGGTGTGCCTGATGTTCCATCTGGTGCTCCTGGTGTTCCACCAGTTGATGGTGGTGGTAGTGGCTGTACTGGTGACTCTGCTGGTGATGATGATGACCCTGATTCTGGTGCAGGCGGTGATACTGGTGCAGAACCATTGCTATTCTGCCCACTTGGCGTTACGGCTTCTCGAGGCTTCGATAGTAATAACTTAGCTTTCTCCGTAGATTCTTTTGCTGCCTGTTTGACATTATCGTATTCATCTTTCTTGTCCTTCAACTCTTTTTTCGCCTTCTCCAGATCGGTTTTTAAAGTAGGACATCTCTCTTGTACTTTTTTAACTAATTTTATGCAAACATTTTGCTTCTTATCTTCTTTACAATCACTAAGCAGAATTTTGAATGTTCCTTTCTTTTCCAACTCAGTGCAACGCTCTCCTAATGTTTTTTTACATTCATCTTCACTCTTTAAACTTCCTTTCAACAGATGAGTCAGCTCCTTTTCCAATTTCAACTTTTCAAAAGTTTCACTGCATTTTTCTTCGAGTTTGTCACAGTTATGATCTTTGTTATCACCTTCTTTTTTCAACTGCTCCGGACAGTTCTCCACAAGTTGATGACAATGTCGGCCCCATGTTGTGCAGAGTTCTTCAAGTGCTGTTTCATTCCCATTTGCTCCTCCAATTTTTCCTACAATTCCTCCATTCTTGATGTTGTCTCTTAAATTACTACATTCATCTTTTGTATGGTATACCATATAACTACATGTTTCTTCTGGTAAAGCACATGAAACACTAAATGAATTCTTTCTCCTCCTATATAAAGTATTACATTTCTCATGCAATACCTTTGTACAGTTTTCCTGAGTCATTAACGAATCATCCTTTTTTTCTAAAAATACATTTCTAAATCTTTCTGTAACCTTAAAGTATTCACAGCGTCTTTTCAATGTTATACACTTTTCTAAATTCAATAATGAATCACTACCAAGTTCATCACACTTCTCCACCAATTCAAGACAATCCTTTTCTAATGGAAAATCCCTTTGATCATCTAAAAGCGAACTTAACTCTTTGGATTGAAGAAAAATATCATTTGAAAGCCCATAACATAGTTCTTTAGGATAAAGACATTTTGAAAGGTATCTTTTATCTTCTTTAAGTTTTGTACAGTTTCCTACCACAGATTTTTTGCATTCTTCAGGATCGCTATAAAATCTTACAAGACCAAGATTTCCCCTCAATTCCTTTTGAAAGAACTTATTCAACATCCTGTCTTGTCCCTTTTTATAGCACGCTGCTCTTGCATTTTGACATGCTTCATCAATCTTACTATCCTTACACGCATTTTCTAAATAGAAACATTCCGACTCAAGTTCTGCACACTCCCCTTTTATAAAAAAGGTTGGAAGCTTTCCCCACGATAAAAGATCTGATTTTTCATCTTCTTTAAATTTTGTAGACAACCCTTTCACATAAAGATTTAACTTGAGTTTTGTACATCTTTCTTTTACATCTAGTATTTTTTTGCATTTTTCTTGTTTATCAGCATCTTTGCATAACTCCATCAAATCAGTATTCAAATACTTAGAAGTTTCACATTTTTTTAACGCTTTTTCGCATTTCTTCCCTGCATCCTTATCATTCTCATCTCTGCTCAAGACTAGCAAGAGATCTTGCAGAAATTTTGTACCTGACTTCCTTGGTAGATCCACTCCTGATTTTCCAATAATAATCCCATGTTTTTCCGCGTTTTTATACACATCATCCAACCCAATACTTCTTAACAACGACGCCTTTGGTTTCACCGGACTAAAATCAGATTCCGGCGCTTTATATGTGAATCCTTTTTCCTCGCATTTCGTCTTATCCTCCTTACATTTTGTATTACCACACGCTTCTTTGTAAAAATGACATTTCTCAAGTCTTTCATGACACTTTTCTGAGCTTTTCTCATTCAATTCTGTTTCTAAAGGTTTGCAAACTTCGCCCAATTTTGTTTTCAGCTCTCCACACGTTCCATCCGGATTAAGGCAAAAAGTCATCAATTCGTCGCTTTCTCGGCTTAACACTGGGCAAACAGTATTCATCTTTCCTTTACATTTACCATCTTCTTTAGCATCCCCTCCGAGCGCCCTCAAAAGAAGATCCTCTGCCACCTTTTTACGCTTCAATTCGTAACATTTCTCCCTCAACTCGACACACTTCTCCTTAACATCATCATCACCCGTCTCTTCTAAAAGTATACATTTTTCTTCATGTTTTTTACAATTTTCATCTTTTAATTTTCCTAATTCATCTTCAAGTTCCGTATCAAAAGTTCCCAATTCTTTTTCAACTTTAGCTTTCAGGCCTGTGCATTTTCCGTCTCGTTTTGTATCATCACCAGCACCACAAATTTCTTTAACTTTCTCATTCACACTGAATTTCTCATCTGCTTTCTTCAACTCTTCACAATATTTCTCGAGTTCTTCTTTGCATTTATTATCTTTATATTTCTCCTTCACAATGAAAGCCAAAAGGTGTTCCTCCTTAATCTCTTCTGCTGGTGGTACTGCTGGTGCTTGCCTCTTAACCGGCCGTGCCATTGCTGCCTCCTTGTAGGGAGTTTAGTGGGTAGTTTCTAAGTTGAATATGGGTAGAGTGAAAAGTTAGTTATTTTGAAATGATTTTTTACGACAAACTTGAACTCGTTCTTATCATAAACTTTAGCTCTTCGATAAGCATAAACTTTACCAAATAAAGCTAAGTTATTAATTAAAATATCGGACTAAAATTATTAAAATTTTATTTTTCAATTCATTCATTCATTTACATTTCTATTATATATAAACAATGGATATATGCACATTTTCAATCTATTAACATTTTTTTCATTCATTTACATCATCCCCATAACAATCACTCCCAACAACATTATTTTAATCATATCAGGAACTCTTATTTTCATCCCATCATTCGGTTTTACATCTTCTTCATCTTTTCCTTCTTCTCCTTTATCTGTCTCTCTGCTTGAATCAGTAGTACATTTTGTAGGCTTGCACTTGCGCATTGAGGTCAACGTCACTGTAGACGTCACAGTAGGCGTACTTGTCACGGTGCTCGTATGCAATGACGTACTCGTCACCCATATATCTGTCGTCCGCACTAATGTACACTGTTCTGTTACTTTTCCTCCACCTACTGTCTCAGTGACTGTCTCAGCGGCCTTCTCAATGGTCTGTGTTTCCGTCACCTTATTTGTTATTGTCTCTGTATGATGAGCCGAAACTTTTAATGCTTCCAGTTTACATAAATCGTCTATTTTTCCGCAGACTTCTTTAGAACCAGGACATTCCTCTGTAAAATCGCAATCTAGTTTTAAAGCTTTACATTCCTCTTTCAATTCCAAATACAACTCCATTGCTATTGCCGTGTTATCAAATGCTTCTACCTCTGCTTCTGATACACCTCCATCTACATACGCTCTTTTAACGGGTCCAAGTTTTGCAGAGTCTGTCGTTCCAGTGCTTGGTGTGCCTGATGTTCTACCAGTTGATGGTGGTGGTAGTGGCTGTACTGGTGGCTCTGCTGGTGATGATGATGACCCTGATTCTGGTTGTACTGGTTGTAATACTTGCTCTGAAGCACTGCTATTCTGCCCACTTGGCGTTACGGCTTCTCGAGGCTTCGATAGTAATAACTTAGCTTTCTCCGTAGATTCTTTTGCTGCCTGTTTGACATTATCGTATTCATCTTTCTTGTCCTTCAACTCTTTTTCCGCTTTCTCAAGATCAGCTTTTAAAGTAGGACATCTCTCTTTTACTTTATCAACTAATTTTTTGCAAACATTTTTCTTGGTAACATCATTACATTTATCAAGCAGAGTTTCGAATGTTTTATTCGGTGCTGTTTTCCATTCAGTGCAACGCTTTTCTAATGCTTCTTTACATTTTTTTTCCTCGCTTAAACTGCCCTTCAACAGATGACTCAGCTCCTCCTCTAATTTCAACTTTTTAAAGGTATCCCTGCATTTTTCTTCGAGTTTGTCACAGTTTTGATCTTTATCACCTTCTTCTTTCAACTGCTCTGGACAATTCTCCACAAGTTGGTAACAATGTCGGCCCCATGTTGTGCAGAGTTCTTCGAGTGCTGTTTCATTTTTATTTTCATTTGCTTTTTCAATTCCTTCTAGAATTTTTTCATTCTCCATGTTGATTCCTAAATATCTACATTCTTGACTTGTACGGCCTACCATATATTCACATGTTTCTTCTTGCAAAGCACATGAAACGGTAAATGGATTCTTTCTCCTCCTAGATAAAGCATCACATTTCTCATGCAACACCTTTGTACAATTTTTCTGAGTCCTTAACGAATCATCTTTTCTTTCTAAAAATACTTTTCTAAATCTCTCTGAAACTCTAAAGTATTCACAGCGTCTTTTCAATGTTACACACTTTTCATAATTCAAATATGTATGATTTTTAAGTTCATCACACTTCTCCTTCAACTCAAGACAATCCTTTTCAAATGGAAAATCTCTCTGATCATCCAAAAGCATACCTAACTCTTTTGATTGAAGAAAAATATCATCTGAAAGCAGATAACATAGTTCTTTAGGGTAAAGACATTTTGAAAGGTATCTTTTATCTTTAAGTTTTGCACACTCTTCTACCACAGATTTTTTGCAATTTTTAGGATCGTCACTATAATATCTTATATGACCAAGCTCCCCCTTCAATTCCTTTCGAAACAACGTACTCAACAACCTATCTTGTCCCATTTTATAGCACGCTACTCGTACATTTTGACACGCTTTATCAATCTCATTATCTTTACACGTTGTTTCTAAATAAAAACATTCCGACTCAAGTTCTGTACACTCTCCCTTCGTAAATAATGTTGGCAGCTCTCTCCAGAATAAAAGATCTGAATCAGCTTTTTCATCATATTTTGTAGACAACCCTTTCAGATAAAGATTTAATTTGAGTTTTGTACATCTTTCTTTTATATTTAGCATTTTTTCGCATTCGCCCTCTTTTTCATTATTGCATAACTTTTCCAATTCAGTATTCAAATACTTAAAATCATTACATTTTTCTAACACTTTATTGCATTTCTTTTTTGGTTCCTTGTTTTGGTCATATCTGCTCAACACTAACAAGACATCTTGGAGTAAATCACCACCAAACCTTCTTGGTAGATCCACTCCTTGTCTTCCAATAAAAATTCCATCTTTTTCAGCTCTTTTATAAACATCTTCCAACCCAATCCTTGTCAACAACGACGGCTTCGGTTTGACAGGACTAGAATCGGATCCTGGCGCTTTATATGTAATATTATTTTTCTCACATTTCGTCTTATCCTCTTCACACTTTGTATTTTCACACGCTTCTTTGTAAAAATGACATTTCTCAAGTCTTTCATAACACTTCTCCGCTAATTCGTCTTTTTTAAGCTCTTCTTCTAAAGGCTTGCAAACATCCTTCAATTTGGTTTCCAGCGCTTGACACGTTCCACTCGGATCAAGGCAAAAAGACATCAACTCGTCGCTTTCTTGGATTAACACTAGGCAAGCCTTTTCCATCTTTCCTTTACATTCACCATTCTTTTTAATATCCCCTACGAACGTCCTCAAAAGGAGCTCCTCTGCCATATTTTCACGCTTGAACATGTAACATCCTTCCCTCAACTCGACACACTTCTTCTTAATAACACCATGATTCGTCTCTTCTAAAAGTATACATTTTTCTTCATATTTTTCACATTCTTCATCTTTTATGTCTTTCAATGCATTTTTAAGTTCCCCTTCAAAAGCTTTCAATACTTTTTCAACTTCGCCTTTCAGGTCTGCGCATTTTTGTTCTATATTATTACAAATTTCTTTAACTTTAGTATGAACTTTATTTAATTCTGGATCTATTCCTTTCAATTCTTCACAATATTCCCCAAGCTTTGGTTTGCATTTCTTTTCATGTTCTTCATAATCTTCTCTCAAAATATAAGCAACAATATCATC